AGCGTGACCTCCTGTATTCTAAGCTCACTACCTTAGTTTTCACTGAAAAGCATGACTGCTGATTTTTCCTTACTGAATCTAAAATCTAACCTTTCTCCCTCATTACCGCAGATGTCCATCAATCTGTGCAAATCTTCCTTGTTGTCGGCCATTAGCATTATATCATCTGCGTACATTAATTCTGGTAGTGCCTGATCAATGAGTTTTCCTTGTTTGACTAAAGATAGGTTGAAACCCAGTCCACTTCCCTCTAATTTGGCCACTAATCCTTGTAGGTACATCATAAATAATAAGCGTGACAGGGGACACCAATGCCTAAGCCCCCGTTTTAACTCTGCAGGCTTGGATACCTGTTTTTCCCACTTTATAACTACCTTGTTACCCTTATAGATATATTTTAAAAGATTAGTGACTACATGTTTCACGCCTAGTCTGTCCAGTATTCCCCACAATTCCTCTTGAACCACGCTATCGTACGCTCCCTCAATATCCGAAAACGCTAGCCACAGGGGCCTGTGTTTCTTTTCTGCTATTTCGATGCACTGCGTCAGGGAGAACAGATTGTCTTCTAACCTCCTGTGTTTCCGAAACCCATTCTGCAGTTTCCCCAGAACCGCTTATCCTCTATCTATGCCTGCAGTCTTTCCTTTATAATCTGCATCGCCAGCCAGTAGACCACTGATGTCACTGTTATAGGACGGTAGTTGTTTATGTCAGCTTTATCCCCGTTTCCTTTATAGATCATGCTCATCCTGCTAAGTTTCCATCCATCGGAAACTTCACCATCGATTATTATTGTGCTCACTGTCTCTCTCAAAGCCTGCTTAGACTTCGGACCTAATGTCTTTATCAGCCTAATTAGAATGCCATCTAGGCCTGTTGATGTACTACTAGGAACCCTTTTCTCAGTCCTTTCCCACTCTTGTTGTGAAAATGGAGCCATTGCACCACTCGATTCGTCCTTGTCTGTTGTGGTGCATAAAGTACTTCTTTGTTGAAATTTTTCTGTCACCCTTGTTCTTATATATTCAATAGCTTCGTCCCCTTCTAGCCTAGCACCTTGGGCTGTAGTTACAAAACTCTGCTCTCTGCTCTAGGCTCGTCTCAATTCATAGGGAGTTTAGATGGTTCCAAAATTTCGCAGCTGCCTTTCTATCTTTTTTATGTACTTCTGCCAGCCACCCGCTGCTTAGCATGTCTGTGTTCCCTAGAGGCTTCCTGACGTTTTGCTGTGGCTCTCTTAACTTCCTCATTCCACCAACGTTTGGGTTTGTGTCTTCTTTTCCAGGGTGACTTGTCACATGTCTTAGCAAGCTCTAGCTCAAAGAGTCTAATTATATTCGTGTTTGTCCACACTGTTTTAATATTCTCCGTGATTACTTTCTCAATTTGTTTAGTGGCTATTTCAATTTGCCTTTCTGGATAAAAATTTTCCTGTAGTTGCTCATCTTGTCTCCTTCCCACTTTCACTGCTCTTCCAAAACTTAGCTTGATACGTTTGTGATCGCTACCCAGACTTCTGGAGCCACCTTCATCTATGTGCATTCCCCTGAGCTTATCATACATCCTATGTGACATCAGTGCATAATCTATCGTCGACTGAAGCCTTCCTACCACCCATGTTATTTGCCCTTCACACTTCTCGGTACGGTTGCAAATGATCAAATCAAGCCTTTCACACAAATCCATGATCATTTTGCCTGTCGGGTCGGTATATCCATCTATATCTTCTATGTGCGCATTCATGTCTCCTAGTATAATTATCTCGCACTCTCTTCCTGACTCCTGAATGTCCTTTGATATACACTCTACCATTGCCTTGTTTTCCTCTCAGGCTTTTGCTCCCGTCCACAAGTACACGAAACCAAGGAGTGTCATTTGACCTGCCACATTCCCTTTTCGCCATAAATGTTCCTTGCACTCCTGCTTGGCCCTTCGCCAGTCTTCACTTTGATGAATGAATGCCCCAGTACCAACTCCCTCTCTACTGCCTTCTGTTCTATTACAATATTCCCACGCGTAGTCCGGATTGTTCGGAGGTTGTTCCATGTCCCTGAGATGTGTTTCTACAAAACCGTATACCATGGGCCTCACTTCCCTTAGCTGTTCTTCTATCTCTTCCCACTTCAGCCTGTTCCTACCACCCTGCATGTTAATATACCCTACGTCTGAATTGGCTCGGCGCTCGTGGCTACGTCTATTCATGCCCCGGACTCTACCTATCTTAGATATTGGTGCCACTTTGGAATCGTATCTGTCCATACCACCTGTCGAAGAGTCTCTCTGGTTGTTTACCTCGTTACTAGCTATCCTGCCCCCCGAAGGGCTCGCTTGCTACCCAAAAAAGCTACTGCGCGTCCTGCAAGTCGCCAACCCACCTCATGACCTAGCCGCCCATCGAAGTGAATTGTGTCTCGTTTAAAACCACCCCACCTATGAACCTCTCTGTTTATTTCCACCACCTCAAAGCCTTTCTCTCGACTCATCCGCCATATCTCTTGGTTTGCGTTGACCACCGCTATTTGCAGGTTGCTATCGCGCACCGGTACCTCCGGTATCGTGCATATCACTGCCTGTACCTTAGGGAAAGTGGCGCGCATGTCATCGACACCTTTCGCCAGTGTGGCTGCTAGTCCTGCTGCATCTTCATTTAGGACATCGTTTAAACCACCTGAAATTATCACGAGGTTTCGTCTATCAGCTGTTGTTTTGAATTTTGCGCTCGCTTGCCTCATGACTGCTTCAAGCTTGCGTCCTGGGAACGCCCCTACTGACCCCCTCTTGTCACCTCTTACCCTCTCTTTGATGGCTTCTGTGCATTGATTTAAATTCGAGTCCCCGGCGATTATCACATGCTGTGACTTTTCAGCTCGTGCGTTCTGCACCTTGGAGGCTACCTGCACCTGTGACGCCGGCTGCTTTGTTCCCTCCCTGCCCCACCACTACCTCGCTGAAGCTGGGCCTTGCGACAGTTGAACCGGCTAAACCTGTTTTTTTCCAAACTTGCTTGCTTTTCCTTCTCCACCGTTCTGGTTGCCGGTTCCCTACTGTTCTCTCGGTAGGTCGCTTCTTGGTTCATCTTCACTAGCGCTTCCTCGGCGGACTTTAGTCTTTTTCCCATTGCCCTCGTTTTCTCTTGCTCTGTCGCCAACGCAGTTTCGAGCTCGGCGATTCTCATGAGCAGTTCACTCTGGGCAACCATCATTTTCTCCATTTTTTCCTCGACCTCACATTGCCTACACTTCGCGTCAGCCTCTTCTCCATCCGCTTCTACGCTTGGGTCCACTTTCAAACCCACTCCACATCCTGAACACTTTACAGTCTTTTTAACCATGCCTTTCTGACACCAATTGTCCCTATACTCGATAATTACTAAACTCGAGCCCTGCACAACGAAAACAAAGAAAGTCTAAGCTCTACTACAATAGTTTGCGTGTTCAATGTACGCGCACCTCCCCCACAGGGTGGCAAAAAAACAACAAAAAAATTCAAACACATACACCCGCACTAACTAATAAATACCTGGTGACTGGCCCCCGAAAAAACCGTACCATAAAATAAGTGCTTCGAAGATTTCAACCGCTGCCTTATAATTATAAAGACAAGCTCAAAACATGCAAAAACACTTAACTGCGCAGTCGAACCGGAGCGCTCAAAAAACACGTCCATCCACCTTGACAGCCCAAACTGAACTCTATAGGCATGCTATACACGAGCGCCATCTGGCATTTATCTTTGAAAACGAAGGAAGGCATACAAGCCTGCGAAGAAAGAGGGTGCGACTGTTCTCACAACAAATCCGTGCAGGGCGGGGCCTCGCTGCGATGAAGTAGCCACCATTTTCTTTTTTTTTCTCTCTCCCTTCCTCTCTTTTTGGCAGCACGTTCGCTCAACACCACCTAAACTTGGTTCGCTGTGTGCTGTTCTGTGGCTGTATGCTGTGCGCGGCGTCTCCCTGTTCTGTGGTGGCGTGCGCTGTCTAGTCATATTAAGCTGTTGAATACTAAGCTGTTGAGAGGTCCTTGGCTGTTGTCAATGGGAGGTATGCTGTGCGGACATCAAGAGACCTAAATGTAAGTATGTCTCGATTGCTTCTTAATGTTTTGCTGTGCGCGTAGATTTAGCATTGAAACACGTAGATGAAGGGACTCAACACGGCAGGACAGGCTTGTTTGCAGTTGCGGTTAGTGCAACACTAGACAATTGATTGGTTTTCACCTTTTTGAAGGTCGAGTTATCATTGTTCTGGTTGCCGGTTCAGTTTCCCTGGCACCGATTCATTTCGGTTTGAGTAGAGTACCGGGTCCGCGACATGACCCGATCTTCAGAAATTTTAACAAACGTTATTGGAAGTCTACTGTTTTACTTTTGGGCTCCAGTCATGATTAGAACAGCGCATGCACGCTAATCATGACTTAGAAAAAATTAAAGGTCTGCCATAGGGTCACATACCTTATCTATTCTGCTCCTGTGCTCTTTAGATAATTGCCTTGAATTCAAGGCAGAGCTGCGCTTGGGCGTTTATTTTGTTTCCATTTGTGCGTTTCAGAATTAACTTTTATGTTATTTTCAACACCGAAAAAGCAATCGTGCGCAACACGAGACACGAATTGTGGTTGGGTTATTCGTGACACATCCGTATGTGCCATCCCTGGTCCTGCTAAAAGTGTGAATTACACGTTAGAGCGAGGCAGGCCCGATGTTGAACTCATATGAGAAGCTAAAGCGTCAGCGTCGAGCTTTTTTGTAGTGTTGTATTAAAAACCCAAGGCCCAACCAAACTGTAACGTGTTAATGCTGCTTGTAAGCTGTAACCTAAATGCCATACGAAAAAAGTCTGGGTGATTATTAATAATAATGATAATTATATTTATTATTCTGGTTGACGAAAGCCAGCAGAATTTCTTGCCAGAGGCAGCGCATCTTAAAGTTTTCTTGCTGCCATTACACAAAAACTAAAACGAGATTTGATATTGCCCTCTGCCATGCATAAAACTAGGTGCCTTCATTAAATCCTCTTTATTGTTTATTTTCAGCCAATGTCGCCTTCTCCGTGATCCACTGCAGATCTCGAATCCCTCTGGACAATGTGCCGTTTCCAGTTGTCAAGGAAACCGTCAAAGTATACATATCTGGAATGGAATACAAGCAGAAGACACTGGAGAAAAAGAAGACCAAATATGTTACATCGTGATGCACTTGCAAACGTTTCAATCTCATTCAGATATGCAGTAGCCTTCCAGTTCAAAGATTGTGTGCAGGCAGTGTAAGGTGCATACTTTGCAGCAGCTGTATTTAACGTATTTTCCCTTATACATATGCTCCTTTTGGGGCCCTTAGGGTATTTCTAGCCAATGAATACAATTAGCAAAAGCCCAAGAGCATTATGACTGTGAACGAGACACATAGCCGGGGGTTGCTGCACACCGAAATGTTCAGTTTTGCTGGGACCTCTTCTGCCTCCTCTTCCACCTTTGACGTTTTGCCATGCCTTCCCCCCATCCGTAGTTGCGAGCGAAAGAATATCATGGCTACATCCCTGGTGTGAACTATAAAAAAAAACATTGGTTTGTTTTTTTCTTTGCACTTATCGAAGCCGACCTGTGTGTCTGTTAACATGCAAAAACACCAGAAATAAATATTCTTTATTTCATTTACAGCATGCAAGTACCGCTGTGTTGGGCTCGAACTTCGTGCGTTCCCCGAATACCTTATGTTACCCACCCAGCGGCCGGCGACCCCTCGCCAACAAGGAAGCAGGGCCACGGGAATGCGGGACGATGACTGTCTGCTGGCCACAAAGGACGCGACAACTCCCGTGCCACTGTCGGGCTCAATTATGGCGCCTTACAGGAGACCAAGCCAGGCTGCAGGTGGCCGGTACACGTGGCCGGTACACGTGGAAGGTACACGTACGCGTCCGCCGGAAAATCAGCGGAGGTGATGGCATTGGCGCAGGGCCCAATTGTATTGATGGCCTGTCAACCCGGCATCGCGGGAATTTACTCAGAGGCGCCTTTCCACGACCTGGCAACACCCGTCATCGACCATTCCGGGAACCGGTGTGAAAGAAACCCGAGCGACGGCGGAGAACCGATGAGTGGGCAAGAGGCGGTGGGTCTTCGAGGTTGTGGCGAGGAGAGACACATCTGTGCGTTTTGATTGGACTATAAGAATGGTGCGTATTGATTGGACTGTAAGAGTGGTTGAATGGGGGGACAGGGGATAAAACCAGGGGTGCAGGGACAGTGGGGAGGAGGAGAAACGAATAAACGTCTCTATATCCAGATGATGTCGGAGCGGTCATTTCCTCAAGGTGCCAGCAGATGAAAAGTTCTCGTCTTCGGCTTCCTTAGCGGCAGCAGCAAATGTCGCTCAACAAGCGAGAGGCGAGTGGAAAGAACCAAACGGAACGTAACTGGCGCAGTCGGCAGGATCTGCATGGCTGAACTGAGGAGGACATCGGGGAGCGACATCGGCCGAGACTGACGACAACCACCTTCAACTGACTACCACGCTGCGGAATCAACAAAGCAAGGCTAGTCCACCGGATTCTGAGGAGGAAGAGCGCACCACAAGGTTACTTCAGGCGGGTACCTCTTGATTTTCTGTTGGGCGCAGGCGATGACAAAGCATTACAACTTGCGAGACAGAGAAAGGGACAACTCAGAAATGAACGGGGACGGGGCAGGAAACTTGCAGGTGTTGGGAGTCGCCGACAGCGGCACGGGGGGTCATGGTAGTAGCACGTCAGATACGGCGTCGGAACAGCAGCTAGCGCTGCTCCAGCTTCAATTAAAAATTGCTGAGGCGGAAACAGAGAAGCAGCGCTTGATGCTGGAAAGCCAGCGGCTACGAGCCCGTAATGGGGCAGAGTCCAACGAGAGCGATGACAGCGTAGCGCTTGGCGGAAGGTCAGTGGAAGACAGACGACTGAAATTCGCAAGCTTGTTAAAGGGTGTACTGGCACCAATGCCGAACCAAGAGGCGCTTGTGCCAATGTGGTTCGAGGATGTTGAGGCAACGCTCGAGTCGTATGAAGTTCCGAGCGAATGGTGGGCCGGAATAGTTTTGCCACAGTTGAGTGAAAGGGCACGCGGGCTGCTGTGCAGGCTTACAGCAGAGGAGCGCAAAGCTTATGTTAAGCTTAAGTCAAGCATTTTGGAGGGTCTCAGGCTTTCGGCGGCGGAGTACAAGAGGCTGTTTGCGGGATCAGAAAAGGGAGAAAGGGAGTCCTGGGATCAGTTTGTCGTACGCCTTGAGAATTATTTCGACTATTATGTCAAGAGCTCAAAGGTAGGCACGTTCGAGAAACTCAAGCAGCTAGTGGTCGCGGATCGCTTGAAAGAATGTTTGAGCCCGGAAGCGAGAGCGCATGTCATTTGTAATCAACAGGAGTCCTTTTTGCTGCCCAGTGGCGTGGCTAGGCTCGCGGAGAGATTCGAGGAGAGCGAAAAGTGCAAGGCAGCACAAAAGAAGGCAAATATACAGGAGTGGCAAAAGAAAGCTAAAACAGCGGTAGATACACCCACGGACGGAAACGGGAAAAGGCGATGTTTTGAGTGTAAGGGTACCGACCACATTGCCAGGAATTGCCCCAATAAGGGTTCAGGTGCAAGGCAAGGCACTAGGCCAGCAGGACAACAAAACGGTCCAGTGGTCGCGAGGGTGACGGCTTCTGCATTCGGGTCAGAAATAGCAATGACAGACAGGTTGTGGCAGCGTAAAGAGCAGAAACAACCCTCACTGGAAACTGTAACGCTTAAGAGCTCAGGTCGATCATTAAACGCCGTGGTAGACTCAGGAGCGGAGGTGAGCGTCATCAGAAAGGCAGTGGTACCTCAGTACGATGGTACGGGTTCGCAGATAAAGTTGACGGGAGCGTTCAGGCAACAGGTAACCGCTGAGTTGGCTTACGTGCCGCTCATAGCTACTGAAGGAAGTCCTTACGTGATGTCCGAGGCGGTGCAGTCGGCCGTGCTTTGTGCAATCACAGATAAGCTGCTAGACGGCACCGACGCGCTGATCACGCCCAACGATTACGCACAGCTTCTCGAGGAAAGGGTTACACTTGACATAGTGTCAGACGAGTGTTCAGCAGTCGAGGAGACCGAAGCTATAGTAGAGCTGTCAGATGAGGCATGCGAGGAGCAACGGGCGATGGCAGGCGTCATAACCGCGGAGAGCAACAGCGAAGGTTCCGAGCCGGTCAAAAGCAAACGACAGGAGTTCCGTGAGGCTCAGGAAGCAGACCCGGCTTTGCGAGATGCTTGGGCGCAAACAAAGGCCGGAACGCATGGCATGCTCGTTCAAGACGAGCTATTATATCATCAGGAACACCTCGCGGGTCGCATCTGCAAACAGTTAGTGCTACCATCGCACAGACACAAAGAAGTGCTGAAAATGGCTCCCGATTCACCATGGGCAGGTCATTTAGGAGAGTGGAAAACACTACAACCAGTGAAAAGCTCATTTTACTGGCCGCAGATGTCGCGAGATGTAAAGGAGTACGTAGGACGCTATAACTTGAGGGCCACAGGCAAACGGTTTGTCACAGGGGACCAAGTACTATGGCGCGAGAAGGAAGGAGAGGGGAAGCTAGTGGCGAAGTGGAAGGGACCAATCACAGTGGTCGAAAAACTGCGACCGTACAGTTATTTAGATGAGCTCGAGGACGGTTCACGCAGAACCATTCACGCTAGCAAGCTTCGCGCATATCACGCCCTAGTAACTGCAGTAGGAGTGATATTCAAAGGCGATCCAGAGAAGGTCAGGGCGATAAAGCAGATCCCGGCTCCCGAAGCAAAGGGACAACTTCGTAGTTTCTTAGGGCTAGCCAACTATTATAGGGACTACGTGCCCGAGTACTCCAAAGTCGTTATGCCTCTGACTAACCTAACTGGCCGACGTATTCCGCAAAAATTAACTTGGAATACAGAGGCGCAGGAAGCTTTTGACAAGGTGAAAAACTGTGTGCAGGCGTCGGCGTTGCAAGCACCAGACCCGGGGAAAGAATTTATCCTTGCCACAGATGCGTCCGATTACGCCTTTGGTGCGTGCCTGGCACAGCAGGATCTGGTGGGCAAGGAGCGCCCTATCGCTTTTCTGAGCAAGAAGCTTAGCCCGGCTCAGACCCGAGGGGCCACAATAGATAAGGAAGCTTATGCAATCATTTGGGCACTGGGGAAGTTGGATGTTTGGCTGTTTGGCGCTAAAATCAAGGTGTTTACCGATCATAACCCACTCAAATTTCTGACTCTAACCACTCCGCAGAGCGCTAGGCTGACACGCTGGGCGTTGGCACTACAGAAGTATAACCTGGAAATTGAATACAAAAAGGGGTGTCTAAACGCTAATGCCGACGCAATGTCGCGGTTAGTGACTCCTAACGATGACGCAGAAAAGGGAAGGCGAGTTAAGGGGGGTGTATGCTTTGTTAGCGCGTGCGCGCGACGGAGTCAACGAGGTACGAGTGACAGTTGGTGCCTCACGTGTCGAGCCAGTGAACATGTGTGCATATGTGGTTGTGTTTGTGTCGCAGGTCATAGATACAGTGCAACACAGTTGGAGGGGAGGTGTTGGGCTCGAACTTCGTGCGTTCCCCGAATACCTTATGTTACCCACCCAGCGGCCGGCGACCCCTCGCCAGCAAGGAAGCAGGGCCACGGGAATGCGGGACGATGACTGTCTGCTGGCCACAAAGGACGCGACAACTCCCATGCCACTGTCGGGCTCAATTATGGCGCCTTACAGGAGACCAAGCCAGGCTGCAGGTGGCCGGTACACGTGGCCGGTACACGTGGAAGGTACACGTACGCGTCCGCCGGACAATCAGCGGAGGTGATGGCATTGGCGCAGGGCCCAATTGTATTGATGGCCTGTCAACCCGGCATCGCGGGAATTTACTCGGAGGCGCCTTTCCACGACCTGGCAACACCCGTCATCGACCATTCCGGGAACCGGTGTGAAAGAAACCCGAGCGACGGCGGAGAACCGATGAGTGGACAAGAGGCGGTGGGTCTTCGAGGTTGTGGCGAGGAGAGACACATCTGTGCGTTTTGATTGGACTATAAGAATGGTGCGTTTTGATTGGACTGTAAGAGTGGTTGAATGGGGGGACAGGGGATAAAACCAGGGGTGCAGGGACAGTGGGGAGGAGGAGAAACGAATAAACGTCTCTATATCCAGATGATGTCGGAGCGGTCATTTCCTCAAGGTGCCAGCAGATGAAAAGTTCTCGTCTTCGGCTTCCTTAGCGGCAGCAGCAAATGTCGCTCAACAAGCGAGAGGCGAGTGGAAAGAACCAAACGGAACGTAACTCGCTGATTGGCCGAAGGAGTGTACGGAAAAAGTGAAAAAACCTCCAAGGCACAGAGAAGAGGGTTCATGAGGCTTCTTTCCTTTGCATGGAAAGGCTATGTAGTATGCAAAATACATTGGGTTGCATGTTTTGGATACATGATGGGCAAAAACTAGGCAGCTCTACGTTGATTATTTCTAGTTTCACGATACTAAATGTACATGTACATTTAGTCATGTAAATGTACGTGACTAAATGTACAGTCTTGTAAATGTACATGACTTTAGTTCAAAAATACTAGCTGATAAATGCTAAGTTGAGACGATCACCTTCCGGTAATATTTTCTTGTGCATTCGTGTTCCTTATGCAACCCCTCTTTATATATCCCCATTCCCATATGGTGCCATTTAAAAAGTTTTCAGATTGATTAATTATGCAGCTTGCCCAAGTCAGTAGTATCAATATGGACCAGATTTAGGGAAAACCCCCAATGTGGAGTAAGATTCTGCAAAGGAAAGTTTGACATCCACATTTAGGTGGATGTCAAACTTTCCTTTGCAGTATCAATATGTATACTTAAAGCGTTTCACCGAGGGGGTAGTTCCCATAGTTGCCCTAAAAAAAGGCCAGTTTGTTTGCCGAGCCTCTACATCAACCGGTCACAGCTCTTGCAGCAGTCTTGATGAAATTGCTTTGCTGTGTAGGTAACCATACTTCACATTTTCACAGTAAACTTTTTGCATTCACATTACGCATTCTCTCACTTTTGGTTTATTTACAGTCTATGGATATTACAAGCACGCTATGAATACATCTTGAAATGAATAACCGAAAAAATGTACCAACATGCTTTCACATGCAACAGGTACTATATTAAAATGTAAAAAGGAAAGTATAAGAGCAAGCACGTCCGTAGCAAGTACAGAAAGAATGCAACTTTACAAACAGTGCTATACCCATAGATTAAAAGCAGAAGCCTAAAAACATACTTTCACACACTCTCAGAATTGAGAGTATCACCAACACAAAAAATTACGACTTCATTTATACACATACACAGTCGTTGCCAATGTCAAAATTGCATGACTATAATAAAGTCTAGTATAAAACATACCATATTAATCTTAAAAGCTCTAAACATTCTAAAAATTATTCACAAAGATGTCCGAACACTGTGTTTAGGCCAAAGTTATGAATAGTAAAATAAATTGAGTTTTGCAACAATTGCAATTTTTTTAAATAGAATGAAAAAAAATCACCGAGTGGTCCATCTCTACCGTTTCCCCCGATCCTTTCCTAGCAATCAAAGCTCCAGCCAATGGCAGAGTGACAGCACACTATAGGCGTCTTCTTTTCGGAAGAGGCTTCAGAGACGAGCATCCTTTTGTCGGTGAGCCCCGAATGTGAAGGCCAGAACTCTGTGGCACAGATTCAGCCAGCTTACGGAAGGTGGCTTGCAATAAGCCCCTAGCCTCCACCAGTGCTTGAACGTCATGGCAGCAGTAAAGGAGAAAACTGCACTTTTCCAATTCCTCGGTTATACTTTTGTGTAGCTCCGACACTGAGGGGGCTGCTGCCCCAGGAAGCATAGAAACCCCAGGCTGTAAAGGCACTTCACAAAAGCTGGTCTCATTGACAAAGGGAATGTCTGACTCTGATGTTGCTGTACCAAGATCCTGTGAAGACACTTCAGAAGGGCTGGGCTGATTGACAAGGGGAATCTCGGAACTTGTTTCGGATTCCGGACAGCTTTCAAGAGTAATTTGCGGTCGATTGAGGTAACTCTGCGGAAGAGAGAAAAGCCCCACCTGTCGCTGTACTTAAAAACAACACAAAAGTGCTTGCATGGGCACTTGTGCTTCCTGAAATCAGGGCAGGTACACGATGGCTTGGTGAAGTCGACAGTGTGCAGATTATCATCACTTCTTTCAGAATGAACCATAAACACACCTTCAACGGGGAGCTCTTTCATGTCTGTGGGGGTGTATTCCTCTGCGTTAACGAGCCATCTTAGCATATGCTTAACGAACCCATGAGTCCGGTTGTGCAGGTATGCAGGAACATTTTAACTGTACTGTCTGTACGTTGATCACTGCCTCCTTGCTGCCTCATGGAATTTCGCTTCTTTGTCGGGAAGGTAGCCATGAACGACAGTCAGGATCAGGGATGTTAACAACCGTTTCCCGCTGGAACGTTTCACGTACTGTGCCTTCAACACGCGGTTTTGGGCCTCAATGCCGTTATTTGTGGTCAACACAACGTCAAACTCCAGCCTGTAAGACATGACCCACAGCTCCTTTACTGACAGCCACACTTCTTCAAAGTAACTGCGGAATCTTTAGTTTTTCCAATACTCAGAGTCAACAAGGACTTCAACCGCCTTGTCAAAGTCATGCTGAGTTGAAGCACTGGCTACGTGTTTCATGAGTCTCAGGGCCACATCTGGATCGGATATGCTGTTTTCCTTTCTGCGCAGCCACCTCTGCCATGCCTGTAGTCTATGGAAGTCACAGATGGAGATTTGACTCTCTGGAAACACTTGCTTGATGGCACTTATTTCTGCTTTGCTATAATCTACCATCCAGTATTGTGGGGACCAGTTGTCACACCACTGCTTGAAAACGTCTAAAGCCTCAGCGATACAGTGGCCGTCTCGAACTGTATGATAAACACACCAGCTGGTGTGTATCCGGACGGTGTTTTCACGACAAGCAAGAAAAGTGGGAGGGCATAGTCACTCGTCTTGTGCGTTGCGTCCAGGCAAACTACTGAGCCTCCGTACTTTTTAAGCATGCTCCTCATGAACTTTCTTTGGAAGCAAAACAGCCACGTGCCTTCACACTCGCTGGCAACGCCCTCTTCCACGTTGTCCGAGTCGCTGCTACCCACGAAGCTGCGTGCTGCATACGGCCGATAGACAACGGAGGATTCGGGTTGCTCACCCCTGATCTTTTCAATTAGGATTCTAGCATTCTCTTCATCAACTGTGCTGAAGCGGTCTTGCTTAAGCACAGCTTGGATCTGGTTGCTGATGTAACGATGTGTTGGGAAAAAGGCCCTGCAGCTGCTATCAGGCTTCTCCTTGTTCGCAAAAAGTACGTCGTGCACGTAATAGTGAAGGCACTTTTTCACATCTGATACAGAAGTAATGCCTTCTCTTTCCAACATCTGAATTCGCTCAGCAACGTTCTTGTCCATGTTTTGGCTGAAAGCTTCCATGTCCTCGAAACCATGGTTTTGATGGGAACTGCAGTCGGCAATCCTTACATATACCCGCGTCTCTTTGGCCACAGTCTGCTGCTCTGCGTCAAGTGCCTCCTGCAGCTCCTTGGCCTTGTCGGCTTTCAGACGACCCTCTCTTGTCTTGCCGCATGGCTGGGGCACATCCACCTAGAAAGCAGGCACTGTTAAGTACACAGATCATATTTTATGGTTTCAAACAGTGCGACAAGATGAGGGCGAAGTCAAGATGAGACATAAGACAGCGCTGAACTAATAGCTGGAAGTATATTTCCACTATTGCCAGTATGTATACATGTGGGAAATAGCAAAATAAGAGTGCAAAGCACAAAACACATACAGTCTTGGCTTAGATGCCCTAGACTGTATGCGTTGTGCTCATTTTATCTTTCACACTCTGTTTATCTTGCTATTTCCCACGTGTATACATACTGGCAATGGTGGAAATACAGAGCGCTGTCTTCTGTCTCATCTTGACTTTGCCCTCATCTTGTTGCGCTGCTTGAAATCATAATTATCTTCAGCCAACTGTGTTGTGTCGGATTGCACAATCATAAATGACATAAAGGTCCCCAGAAATTAATCTGGAAATATTTTTTACTTGTCATTGCACATTACATACCTGGATATCTGGGTACAACTCAATCCAGTTCAAATTCATTGTTGCTGCACACCCCTTCCTCTTTGTGCCTTGGAGGTTCACCCGCTTCTTCTCGTACGCCTTCTTCTGCCAGTCAGTGGTACTTGAACTCTGTAAATGAAGTTAACAATATTTATTTCTCGTGTAAACTTGTAGTAACTTAAAGTATATCTTCTTTACACTGCCTACACACAATCTTTGAACTGGAAGACTGCTGGATATGTGCATGAGATTGAAACTTTTGGAAGTGCATCACCATGTAACATACCTGTTCTTTTTTTTCTTCTGAGTTTTCTTGTGGTACTCCGTTCCAAATATGCACACTTTGACCGTTTCCTTGACAACTCGGAACGGCACATTGTCCACAGAGATTCGAGATCCACAGTGGATCATGGAGAAGACGACATTGGCTGAAAATAAACAATAAAGATGATTTAATGCAGGCATCTAGTTTTATGCATGGCAGAGAGCAATATCAAATCTTGTTTTAGTTTTTGTGTAATGGCAGCAAAAAAACTTTAAGATGCGCTGCCTCTGGCAGGAAGTTCTGGTTTTCGTCAACCAGAATAATAAATATAATTATCAAAATATTATAATTATTACCGAGACTTTTTATGCGGTTTTTAAGTTACAACTTACAAGCAGCACCAACACGTTACAGTTTGGTTGGGCCTTGGGATTTTAATATAATTTGGCAAAAAATCTCGACCCTGACCCTTCAGCTTCTTATATACAGCGTTCAACATCAGGCCCGCCTTGCTCTAGACGTCTAATTCACACTTCCTGGAGGACCACGGATGGCACGCACGGCCGTGTCACAATTAGCTTGCTAGCGCGGTGCTAATCATGACTAAAACCGAAAAAATACAGTTCAGTTACAACTGAATAATTCGGGGTTAAGCAACGGGGACCAAAGAAACACGCAGACACAGACAAGGCGCCAATTACAGCTCCAATAACGTTTATAGAAACTCTGAAGATCGGGTCATGTCCCGGTAATCCGAACAATACTTCACTCACACTGAAATGAATCGGTTCCAGGGGAACTGTGAACCGGTAACGAAAACAATGATACCTAACCCTAACTTCAAAAAGGCGAAAACCAATAACCGCAACTGAGAAGAAGCCTGTCCTACCGTGTCCCTAGCTGGTTTAAATTACTACTGCGTGTTTCAATGCTAGATCTATGCGCAGAACAATACATTAAGAAGCAATCGAGACATCCTCACATTTAGACGACTTGCTCAGGTCTCTTGATGTCCGCACAGCATACCTCTCGTTGACGGCAGCCAGGGACCTCTCAAAAAGCTTTAGCTCTTCGTCTGACTTCAGGTAGCCATGAGAGTAGCCGTCGTCATGACGTAAACCTTGGAGGTACTTTTCGATCACCTTCTGTCGGTCAGGAGGCTCGCTCATCGTTGCGTTCCGATTTTCCGGCCACTTAACAAGACATTGCACGCTTCTCGCTCACGTGGAGGTCACGCCACCACAGCGACCGCGTCGACCACGTACCACGCCGTCAAACGGAGAGAGAGAGAGAGGGACAGAGAGAAAAAAAAAGGAAATGGTGGCTACGTCATCGCGGCGAGGCCCCGCCCTGGACGGATTTGTTGTGAGAACAGTCGCACCCGAAGAAAGATGCGTCCCAGTCTCGGAGGCGATAAGGTGTGGAACGCAAAGTGACGCACAGGTGTCCCTACCACCTCGTTTCAGCTAAAGTCCCTGAAAAATAAACTAAAGTAGCGCCATTCGTGTCATTGTGCAGCCTCCTCTCCCCTCGCGTGCATTGCAGATAGTAAACGACGCTAGTTGAGGGGCTGTATGGCTCCTGGCCGCAAAGATGAGCTTGTACTCATGTTTCCGTTAAAGCGCATCTGGGCGCTAGGGTTCTAGGCGATGCACCGAGAGAGTGATTGAGAAAAAAAAATAATATAAAAAGTAACGTTAAATACAACGATGTGACGTGTATATAAGCAAGTGGCATGCAGTGGCAAAAAACATCACTGCAAGCAGGCAATACTCAACGCGATTGCACACCGTTTGCATGCAGACGCGCTCAATGGTGTCGCTCTCGATGGCAGCGCTACTGCTGTCCATGTGATAAACTCGGCGGTGCTAAGAATCTGCAGCATGACGCACTAGCCTTGTGAAGATATTGCAAACGCCATTTTGTTTGTCCACTTTCGCGGTGTTTGTTTGTGGCTAGGCGTGCGCGCTTGGTATTGTTGTGTAGCCGGAGTTTGACCGCGCGTGAGTGTGTGCACGGTAATCCTGCACGTTTCGGGATGCCGACCTGCTGTGCCAGCGGTTGCAAATGCAGGTAGAGCAGAGGAAAGAAGCTATCTTCGCTTCCGCGAGGAAAAGACGATGCCGCTCGGCAAGAAGTGTGGCTCCAGCGTATCGGAAGGACTGACTTGGACACTGTATCGTCGCGGCTTTGCGAGGTGAGTACCGGCGAGCTAAACTTTATCGTTTTGCTTGTATTCGTGTTTACAGTGTTGCGGTACTGTCAAGCTTGAGCATCACACAAAGAGAGTAACCGCGTCGATGGTAAACGTGCATGCCAGCTGAAACGCGTGCCGCATTTAGTGCCGTGTAAACCTTGCGTCCCTGGCTTGATCCATGCCGACCGCGGCGGCTGCATTTTCGATTGAGGCGGAAATGTTGGGGCCTGTGTACTTAGCATTATATGCACGTTATTGAATACCAGGTGGGCGAAATTTCCGTAGCCCTCCAAAAGGGCGTCCCTCATAATCAAATTGTGGTTTTGGAACGTTAAACGCCAGATATTATTATTATTATTATTATTATTATTAATACTCGTTTGATCCAGAAATAATCGTTGACTATGTTACAAAGTAAATGTAATGGATACATTCAAGTGCTAAACTAAACTTTGTTTATTGGCCGACGTATAGTTAAATGACTCCCGCGAGTATGGGTGTAAGGACTTTATGTATAAAGGCGTGGGCAGCGACCTGAATGTCGCATCATTTCGTTTAAGCATGTGCTCCAGCGCGCTCAGTATTCAGAAGCTCTGTGGTTGAAATAAGGACACGCAAAGCTAAATGGTGCGTACTTCTACATACTGTACGCACTGCGTGCTAGTCTGGTGGGAAGAGAATGTGGCAAACAGTGCGTAGTCGTGTACGTGTTGACACTAAAGGTTATTTTAGTTTCTTTTAGAGCGTGCTGCTTCATTGTTTAACAGTAGCCGCGAATATTTCCTCAGCTAGGACCACTTCACTGCGGACCAATTCGAGCCGGTACTGCTGCGCAAGTTTGGTACTAAAAAGTTGGAGACGCGGCGCCTACGATCTTCAGTCAAGAGCATTTGCAAATGTCAGGTAAGCCAATCGCGTTAAAAAACTGAAGAATGTTTAGTTCGTCTTTGTTGTTTTCTGCATCACCCATAATTACTTCTCAGCCTTTCACTAACCTGAAACATGTCGTCTTGCATATAGGTGTTGTGCACTGTTTTTGTATAGCTAATGGCTTTTCTTTGGTATAATTAATGCATTTTTTTTTCATTCTCCAGAATGCAATGATTCAGCCCGCTCATCTTGTGGCCTTAATCTACTACTAACAACAGCTGCTCTTGTTGATGGTGAGTTGACGGTTAAGCGGATCTCACGCCTTTTCCCTCTTCGTTATCATTAATACATGTTTGGATTATGCAGAAGCCAAAGAGACACACTGCCCATCAGCTACGAATGTGCTTCTGACACCAGCTGCTGTTGATGGTGAGTTCTTACTGCATTTATTACTTACCGTAATTACAAACGTGATTTATGCCTTCATTGATGTTTTATAATTTGCAGGCTATGGAGCTAACAGTGATGCTACTCAAGCAGGGTTAGGTCCTTCATAAGTTAACGTAGCTAACACACATGCTGCATGTAGTCAAAGCATTGTAGCGGCTTGTAACTTGTATCCATTGGTTTATATATTTTACAATCATGTCTGTAGGGGTGTGCTGCAGATCCACAACATTTTGCTCCGCAGTATGGTGTTCAGCATATTGCAAGCATTGAAAGCATCGTTGCTTGGGTTTTGGCATGCATTCTTATTACTGAAAAATTGTAATGCACCTGTGCGTATTGTAAATGCTTCAAGTAGTGTTGACGCTTGTTTGCCAAAATGCGATGTAACAGAGATGATGGTCTTCTTCAATTTGTGTTTATCTTTTTTAGGTCACACTGCCACTCATTCAGCACCATCGGATTTTCCAGAAGGTAATGGCAGTGATATGTTGCTTTGAAATTTCACCTAATATATTGTTGATCTCATGTTGCAGATGCACCTTCAAGTTCCGAATGTGACGCACTGCCAGCTTGTCCAACATCTTGTTCAGCAGGTGAGTGCTACTTTTCATGTTTTGTATAGGCATGTGTGTGCCGGATGGTTTCGTTGGTTCCAACTATCATATGTGCGCAGGTGTGGATACCACCCATGAATCGAGCTGCCAGCCATTTCAAGCTTTGACAGTGCCTGTTGAGTGTGTGTGAAATTTCTGTTCAGTATCATATACATTTCCTAATTTTAGTCACGGGCAATCCCTCATTGCCTGTGCTGCAACTGTGCTAATTTAAAGCTTTGGTGACTGTACCGGTCTTCAGTACTACTAATAAAATTATCCGTCATTTACAGCTCAGCAGAACTTTTGTGCTGCCTGTGGAGGATTTCTGTCTGCTGAGGGCACAGCTGATGTCACCGGTAAGTGTTCAGTGCTACATTTCTCACACACTATGCAATATACACTTAAGTGTGACACATCGTCGCCTACAGGAAATTACGTGCACGCTCATAACAGATTGATATATTGGTGCATTTAATAGTGCGGATGCGCTCTAAGTACTGGTGCCCTGTTTTGTTTCTTTTGCTGGTATGCTCATTCTTGTAAAGCGAGAGTAGTCGCACACAACGTAAGTTTATTGGAGGAACATGTAAGCTGTGTTTTGTGTACAGTAATGCATAGCACACTGTTACACACTGCGCAACATCATCACACTATCACTTGTGACAAGCAATCAGCTGCCGTCTTGTAGCAACTCTGTCAAAAAAAGCTACAACAGTGGAACCATGGCACTCTCCCCACTTTGTTTGAAATAACCACCGCCATTGATAACCCTACGTCATAACCGAGAGTATGTGCCATATATTCATGTCTTTACTCATTACTAACCATTGGCATAGCTAGGACGTGGTTCACCGGACACTTGCTGCTCCCAAAATGTCTTTCTGCCTTCACACGCAGAGTACAAAGTGAGACGTGACCACACTTGACTGTCCTGCCCCTATTTCGGATCAAGGACACGCCCCCACAAAAAAAAATAGTTCACCTGCATGCATTGCAGGTTCTGCGCAGCTCCATTTGTCCCTCTTCATTGAGCTACAGTGTCAGCTTATGCTGTTTGTTAAAACCAGTGTTGTGTTCTCAAAAAGTTAACGCTTACACTTTTCTGCTGAATAATATGGAGTGACACTGATTTTTTTTTTTTTTTTTGTTTCTTATGATCCTTATGGTTCTCCCTCACATGCTAGTCTGGGTTAAATAGTGAAGTTTTCAAACTCTTGTCAGTTCCTGCTTAATCTGTGCTTTGCAGGCTCCAGTTCAAGTAGTTGGGATGCTGATCAAGCAGTAGTAGCTGTCTTTCACAGAAGAATAGCTACATTGGAAGAGTGCTTGAACAACATGAAGCGGAAAGTTGCTACACTGCAACAACAGAAAAGCAGAGCAAACCGTAGAAACCATGAACTCACGCGAAACATCAAGAAGTACCTGTCACCAGATCAACTGCAAGGCGTGTGGACTTCCACTATGCGAAAAAGCAATGGTCTACTGAGACTATACAGAAAGGCCTCAAGCTCCGTTTGGCATGAGGATCGAGAGGCTACAATGCCGTCAGGGAGCTTGCTGTACCCCTTCCGAGTGAAAGAACTTTACAACGTCGTGTTGGAAACTACAAGTTCTCACCAGGAATTCTACATGAGGTTCTGAAGTCCCTTGCTTTAAAGGTGAAAGGATGGTGTAGCTTAATGTATTTGTTACTTTATTCTTGAGAGCATCTCCTTCAGCAGTACACCTTGAGCAAACGGTGAAACCTTTTCCAGAGCCTTCCACTATGGCATGTCTCAAGATTGTATCATGGTTTTCGCACGTAAACCCTAATATTTATTAAGCTTTCATGTGTTGCTAGTGCCAGTGTTAGTGCCTGTCACTGCGCTCTTTGTCGTGCACGTTTTAGCGGCCATTCATAAAGTTTTCACAACATATGCTCACCTTTCCTTCACTTATGACTTCAGGTCCTCTAACTAGGCACAATTCCACATAAATTTCAATGGGTGATAATCTTCTTGCATGCAAACATCGAAATACAGCTTGAACTGTGCACTGCCTGTTTATTCTTGAAAAGCATTGTATTTTAAATGTCTTTATTAATGCCTTTGTTGCTTAATGCATGTTGCATATTTCAGATAACCACCATGAAGGAGCATGAGAGGCATGCAGTTCTGATGCTCGATGAAATTCTGTTGAGCTCAGGGCTTGCATTTGACCAAACGACTGGCACTGTTATTGGAAGGCCAACTTTACCTTTGGCCGACGGTTCTCTGCCTCATGCTGCAGTGGCAACGCATGGACTTGTTTTCATGCTGGGTGGGGTTACGCAAAGATGAAAGCAGACAGTTGCTTATCACTTTACTGGAAACTCGTTCAGCAGTATTGCAGTTTAAGAACAGTTGATTGAAATTATTCAGGAATGTGAAACAATCGGGGTTCGTATAGATGCAGTCGTTAGCAACATGGGTGGTGGGAATATGGCACTCTGGAGAGAAATTGGCATTGTTGTGGGAAAGCATTCTGTGTCAAGAGTTTCTTGTTGTCATCCTGTTGACCAAAATCGCAAGCTTTATTTTATGACAGACACCGCACATTTGCTAAAAAACTTGAGGAACCACCTCACACGTGGTCAATCGATTTTCCTTCCCAAAAATGTGGTCGAAAAGCACAAGCTGCCTTCGAATGAGGTCAACCTTGTGCCGATTCAGAATCTGGTAGAAATAGACTCTGAACTGTAATTAAACATAGCACCGCGCTTGAAACCATCCTTCTTGGACCAAGGACACTATGAGAAAATGAAAGTGGGGCCTGCATTTTCGTTGCTAAATTACGATACTGCAGCTGCACTACCTTTCTTGGTCTAAAGGGAAGATTTGCCCCAAGAAGCGTTGACAACAGCATGGTTCATAGAAACCATTTATAGGTGGTTCAAAGTACTGACATCACGTACAACGAAGCTTGGCATCAGCAAGTTAAATGATCAGAAATATGAGGACTCACTGATTTTTTTAAATGATATGGTAACTCTTTTTACAGATCTGAAGATAGGCTCTCCATCGAAACACGTGTGGAAGCCTGTGCAGACGGGCATTATTTATGTGTGTAAAGTTGCATTGGAACTGCAGTATTATTATCTTAATGAGAAGGGCTTCTTTTTTGTTTTGCTCGGCCGATTTGCCCAAGATGCTCTTGAGAATTTGTTCTCCACTCTGAGGGCGAAGAATGCAGTACCAAAAGCTCTTCAATTTCGTAGTGCTATTCGAGGTGCTACTTTGGCACAGTTCTTTCGCCCCAGTAGAAGTGGAATCTATGCTATCGGCGATGCTCCTTCCCTAGTTGGCATCGAAAATTGCCACGCAAGAGCTCCTAGCAGCAATGATGCAGAAGCTGTTGAATATCCCAGTGATCTTCTCGACATAAGCATGATGGAGCATGAGTCTTTTATTTACCTTGCTGGGTTTGTGGTAAAGAGTGTTGCAAAGCACACAGGAATTTGTGAGCAGTGCAAAACTGCCACAGTGTCAAACGAAGTTAGTGTGCTCACAAAGTTAAAATCCTACACTGATGACAGCAAGCTCGTATCACCAGGGCCAGCAGTACTTCATTTGCTCGAAACAGCTGAGAATATGTTTTGAGTGAATAGCGACAAGCTTCTGTGCAATGAAGTTACGATTGGTCAACTTGTGACCACCACTAATGACAGTGTGCAAGCTGTCAATTGTTTTCGACCTTGCCACAACATTCAGGAGAGGTTGCTGAGAGCATTTTTTAAAACCAGAATTAACATTCTTCTGCGGAAAGAGAATATGCGTTTGGCAGCTGATGAAGCTAAAGATGCAAAAACTGGCAGTCGTAGCATTGGAAAGCAGGCTGCTACAACCAATGTAAAATAGTGTGTATGCCTCATTTCTTTCGTGTTTTCCTTCCGTTTTTCTATGATGCATATGTGGTATGGCCTCTTAAGCTAGTCTGTAGGCACAGTACTCACGGATTGAAATGCAGGAATTATGGTTTTGTTCATTGCCTCTGTGTTTGTTTTCTCGTTTTTCCTCTCTTTGCTTTGCATTTCTTGCCAAACGCAATTCTAAGCTCGTGTATTTTTATTTTGACTTCTGCTAGGTTGGCCTGTGGCTGATTTTTCTCTTGTTGTCTTGAGGCTGAAGCTATTGTTGCCCTATGATTTTACAGCTTTGCACTTGTTGTTGAGGGCAATTATAAGCTCGTGTGTTTTTATTCCGACTACATCTGGGTTGGCCTCTATTTTAGTGGCTAATTTCGCTCTTCTTCTCTTCAGATAGTTACCCTCACAAGTCTATGATTAGGTCCGTGGTTTTGCTGTGCCTATTACATCTGTTTTATTATGTCTTTTACATGTATGTCCTGTTTCATGCCTACATACCTGCATGATATGTTTTGCATATCCCCAGTAGGGGCTTTCCATGTCTACTTCCTATTCCTGTGCTTTCAAAAGTTCAATATGTGTACTTCATTTCATTCGCTAAATTCCACATGTGGAGTGTTAATCTTGATAAAGGTGTTTGGCACAAATTGCGTCCACTTGTCCCTAGTTGTGAGTGCACCACGAATGCCATCGCTTTTCTTTACTCTTGTCATTGTGATGTGCACGTATAGCAACAAGTCGCGGTTAACACATATTTCATGTCATTTATTGTGTACACTGCATAACTATCATGTATGATTGAGGCAGTCCTGCATTTTCATGAAATGTTGAATAAATGTCATGTTTTGTGCCCTCCATTCAGTTTTTGCATAGAATCAACTGTACTTGAACTTTGGTGTTTACCAATAAAGTGACATTATGGAATGGGGTTTCCTAATGAATACCAGGCCCTTTTGTTTGCTCGACATATTGCATGCTATTATGATGGCATATGCATAAACATGTCATGCCATGAACATCCAAATTATACGTGTGTACTGAATGCTGCCTTCCCAGACGCAGTCATTCTTATGTATTCAGGCCAGGGAAGACCGAGGTGTGATGGATGTTGAGTCACCTAGAGCCGGTATGTAAGTGTAAAACATTATTCTAAGAGAAATGTATTCTGCTTAAACAATGGGGACAATCATATGTGCAAAGAAGGAACTTCATGTAACACTGGACACAAACGGTATGGGCCTCACCAGAACACAGAGGAGAAACATGCACATTATCGCACTACCCCAACCTCTGTCCTTGTGAAATGCCAGCTGTTCGTACCTTATAATAATAACCAAGTAGCTTGAGATGCGTTATTCTTTATGGAGCAAGCTATGCTTACTCATTTTTATTGATTGCATTTTAACACACCTATTAAAAGAATAAAGGCATGGACGACAACATAGGTAGAAAATTTCATTGGACACATGCTGGACTAACAACTGCAAGTCTCCAATTGGAATATGTTTTACAGCAATCGCAAATGTTAGTATGGTCGGGCTGCATGCACCCCTTGTGTGCAGATTTTTAGGTCCTGTCGAGGAGGTTAAACTCTCAAACACGTTGGCAGATAGAAGAGAAATGCAGGGAAAAAGGACAAAGTTCAGTCTTCATATATGTTTTATTTGTTGGGTTGCGCATTGAGCTGCTAGAGAGAGATGCTAAAAAGCACTATGCATGCGCGAACGCTACCTTTTTTTGTATTCTTCAGATAGTATTTCCTTTGTTTACCGCCTGTCTTACGTAATACTTCTATGAGCTCTATTGCCTCCTCAGCTGCGCTTTCATTTTTTTTTTTTCTAATATGAGCGAACTCACCCAGTTTTACACTAGTTTACATATCAATATACCTTTTATGCAAACTGTAACAAGCCACGTCTGTCAATATACGCGCACGATGTGCAGTAGTTGTTTAAATTACTCTACATTGAATAATGCGAGCAGCATATAACCTCACAGACCGAAGAATGAATCAGCATGACCATGTGACCTGATTTTGTCAGCACTTGCCAGTAGTATCACATGGCCTAACTCGCTCACGCAGTCGCTTCATGCAATTGGCGGTGAACTCGAATTGGTCGGCCCCGCGCCGACAACGTATATCTGAGTCTTTCCTTCGACTGCGCACGGCGCTGTATTAAATATTGCTGCGGTGACCTTTTAAAGCTTTCGGTACCGACGGTCCAAGAAGAGCGTGCCAAAGTCATAGTTGCTTTCGTAGTTTTTTCTACAGTAGAAAGGTTGGCTTCTTCGCCCAAAACGCTTCCTTTGAAAACGTAGAACGATCCATTGCCTGTTTTGCGAGGGGTTGCTAGCTTTCTATTCCTTCGAATCGACTAACGAACGAACGAGTAATGTCACCACACTAACGATACAAAGAACTGTTCAGCGACGAGTGAAATGCAAAGGAAGTGTACCGAAGACGAAATACTGGCAACGCCGCACACACGCTGGGGCAGCGATGAAGAATCTCGGAATGATGGCCGCCGTAGACTTTGCTTCTGTGAAGCGAGCGCGCGCTCCCCGAATAGACGCCACCGGCGTACCCTTTCAGCATACCCGAGGCACGGCCGCTCGATGAAAAACGCACGGCGCAGCAGTGCCCGAGCTGCCCAAGCGTCTGGCACATCCAGTGCGCCCGCGTGCTTTCGCACTCGTAGTTTCCTGGTGGGCACTCTAGAGGCGCTGCTGTGGCTGCTGGGAGAGGAGGTAGAGGCGAAGGGGTGCGGTTGGCGCTACTTTAGTTTATTTTTCAGGGACTTTAGTTTTAGCACGGGAATACGCCAAATCAGGAAGTGCAAGGTGATATTATACGCGCTCACAGGCTCGGTCGGTTCATGAAAATGAAAACACGGCCGATCAATATCAAACTTGCTGCATACAGGCAAAAAGAAACGGTTCTTGCTAAGTGTTCCTTGCTTAAAAATAGTGGTTTTGCTCTCAGTAAGAATTTCTGCCTCGCCACGCCACGCGCGAAATTCAAAAAAAGTTAAGAGAGCATGCCAAAAGCTTGCGTAAGCCATATAAACTTGTGTACAAAAAACTGCATGTTGACGGTGAATCCTTTTATTTATTTATTTATTTATTTATTTATTTATTTATTTATTTATTTAACATACCTTACAGGCTCTCGTTAGAGCATAGGGTAAGGGGGGCTTACAGAAAAAAAAAAGAAAAATGAGAACGTATACAGTTCAAATATACAAATAAATACAACATAACAGCGACATTAATAACAGTAATAGAACAAGGAAAATAGTCACCAAGTATATGCACCTCCATACTAATGTCTATGAAATGATGCTAGATGTAGTGAGAGAGTAGTTTCTCACGAGACGCGTTGTTGTTAGTGACTGAAACTACCTCGTCGGGAAGATCATTCTACAGTGAGATTGCCTGTGGCAAAGCAGATAAGTTGAACGCGCGTGTTCTGCCAAAAATACGCCTAAAGCTGCGCTGATTTCGCATGCGTGCAGACATGCGATCCGGTGTGTGTAGAGGGAAAGCGCATGGATTTCTGCTATTAATGTACTTGTGAAACAACACAAGGAGGGCTATATTGCGGCGGATATTCAATGGTTGTAAACCGATCTCGCGTTTAATTTGAGATACACTGCTGTGACAATGGTCGTTCTGAGTGATGAAGTGGGCTGCTCTGTTTTGAATGGCTTCGATCATCTGTATTAAATAGTTTTGATAAGGTGACCAAACTGGTGAGGCATATTCTAACTGTGGACGTACGAATGTTAAATAGGCTATTTTGCGGACGCTCGATGTGGAGTAATGGAGATTTCGACGTAAATAACCTAGTGTTTCGGATGCCTTGGAACAAATGGAAGTTATGGGGGAAGACCATGAAAGTTTAGAGTCAATAATAACCCCTAGATATTTGTATGATGTGGTTCGAGATACTTCACTATTTTTAATTTTGTATGAAAGAGTGGAAATCGAGGTTTTTCGGGAAACCGACATTATTTTACATTTTGAAATGTTCAAGCTCATTAACCACTTATTACACCAACTGCAAACGAGGTCTAGGTCACCTTGAAGGGCCTCATGATCAGAGGGACATGTTATGGTTCGATAAATGACACAGTCGTCTGCAAACAGGCGTATACGGGATGAAATGTTAGTCGGCAGATAGTTGATGAAGATTAAAAAGAGTAGAGGGCCAAGGGCGCTACCCTGCAGCACTCCTGAAGTGACTTCTGCGATATCTGAATGAGAATCATTTGCAAATGTAAGCTGTTAACGAAATGGAAGAAAATTTCGAAGCCATGATAGTGTTAAGGAGTCCAATTTAAGAGAATACAGTTAGGAAATCAGACGACAATGGGCGACACGGTCAAAGGCCTTCGAAAAATCGAGGAAAGCGCAATCTGTCTGTGTGTTCATGTCCAAGTTAGTCTGTAGATCTGTCGTGAATTCAAGTAGTTGTGTATCGCAAGAGAAACCTTTCCTAAAGCCATGTTGGGTGGAACTAAAAAAATTGTTTGATTCAAGATGACTGTAAATATGAGAAGCAATGATATGTTCAAGTAATTTACAGCTGATAGAGGTTAACGAGATGGGACGATAATTTTCAACCTGATCTTTACATCTTGCTTTAAATATGGGAATAACTTTTGCGACTTTCCAGTCCCTGGGAAGCTGACCGGTACACAAAGACTGTCTGAAAATGTGAAATAATATTTGAGAGGACGTGGGAATTGTATTTTTTAGTATCTTTGAATTGATATTATCGAGACCACTAGAAGTAGAAACTTTGAGGTTGTTGATTAGTTTAGTGATGCCCTCAATGTTAATATCTACGGGTGCCATGAAAGGTTAATCAAGTTCCGGAAACTCAGGAATGCTAGAATGATCTTCCCGTGTGAAAACAGAAAAAAAAAATGTGTTAAATGCAATTGCACACTGGTCTCTTGGGAGAGGTAATTGATTTTTGCCTTTCAAAGTAATATCTGTCACAGCAGAAGCAGGTGATAATTGTTGCCAAAATTTTCTGGGATTGCATTTTAATAATGATGGTAGGTCATGTTTAAAGTACTTGTCTTTAGCAGTGAATAACGCAGAAGTAAATTTTTAAGACATTCCTTATATGAATTCCAAGCAGAGGCACTACAAGCGTGCCTCCCTGTCCTATACAGCCTTTTTTTTTTATTTCTCAAAGTTCACAAATATTTGTTAAACCATGGGTTTCTCTTATCATTAGATATGGCAATTTCAGGGATGTATTTGTCGACTAATAAAGTAATCTCCTCTCTAAACAATGACCAATTTTCATCGACGGTACGACTTGACAATGAGGGCAAGAATGTGCTGTGATAGAATTCTTCCAAGTCAGAATTCATACAACTATAATTGACCTTACTGTAGTCTCTAATCATTTTTGTAGTTTTGCCCGCAACTTTGAGAGGAATGTTTATTGATAATTGAACAAGCTTATGGTCACTAAACCCTTCTAGGCAAGAGATTTCACCTACATTATCAGGATCTGAGGGAAGTAATAAATCCAAAATATTATTGCCCCGTGTTGGCTGGTTGACTATTTGAGCGAAATTAAAATCAAGGGCGAAATTCACAAAGTCAAAAGACATTTTTGAGGTGGATGATCAATTGACCAAGTGAATTTGTGGTAAATTGAAGTCACCAAACAGATAGACATTATTAGTGCGGTATTTCTCAATAGCTAATGTGGAGCTGCTGCGAAGGTGATCTATAAATGATGGTTCAGAATCAGGAGGACGGTAACATACGCCTACTAGTATTTTAGTGGCACAAATCGTGCACGCGACTCAGACAATTTCTAAGTTTGAGTTTGTATCGATGACAAAAGTAGGTATAGATTTTTTTATAGCAATAAGGACACCGCCCCCACGTTTGCTTTACCGATCACGTCGGA